GAACCGACCCTTTAAACCTTTGTGTTTCGGACAGCGGTATGGAAACGCCTTGATTGACGTTCACCTAATTTGTCGCGACGACGACTGGTCTAAGTATTGCTTTAAGATTCGACAACAATAATCCAGCCTTTCCGCATTCATATAGAGGGTTTTCACATGACCACAGTTGCTATGTTGGTGTACCAAAACCATACACTTTTAATCCTCGAGGAATTGGTTTCTATTTTTATTCAAAAAGTGATTAGGAAGCTTCTAATGTTTGGTACACCAATATGTCACGTGAGTGAAAACTCTTTATGGTATCGAATGTGATCGGCTATGGATATGATTGATATGAAGTGAATGCTAGTCACACACACTCAATTGCAAAATCACTGTTCAAAATGTCACGTGGTGAAAATGACGTAAATGGTAATGAGATATTATATACATGTAGACACGTGTAGACTCAAAAAGAACCAAAAAAAGTACGATTAAAGGAGACAAGAAGATTCTATAATTTGTTAGTATCTGTGTACGTTTTGGAGGTGCTAACAAAAACATGCATAGAACACAGAAACTGAGTATTCTGGGAAAAGGTATTCTGGGAAATGACATAGTTATCCTCTGATGTAATCATTTGAGACATACAGTCGATATGAAACATGGGAATAAATGTTTCCACGCCTTCTGTTTCTGTTGGGGCAACAATTTATAAACATTCCACAGTTGTATCACTGACGTCATCTAATTAATTACTTCCCATCTACCCTTTCGGTCTCAGGTTCTAAAAAATGTCTCCCAAGAAACCTTCTTGGTCTCTTGGTTCTACCCGACAAACATTTTGCAATTGAATGTATTCAAGATATCAAAGGACAGATCCAATAGTGTATATAGCAGTGCATGGGTGTATTGGCCGACGGTAGTAGCCCTGAGCTACCGCTACACATGCATTTGTAGCTCCTCACATTTGTAACTTGGGACACCTCTGAACTAAGAATGCTTACTTCAGCATCATTTGTTGAACACGTGGCTCCGACTATGCGCTGGTCCTGAAATATACAGAAATGCAGCAAAGTTACCGTGTGTACATTTTTTGTAATGACCAGGGACGCTTGAATCTTACTTGTAAAACCGGGAATGCCGGTTGGAAAAGTACATGGTGTATGCGTCGTTCCGATCGGAAAGTTCCGGAAAACTCGGTTTTCAATTCGCGAGGTAATCCACTTTTCCCGCTCTTTTTGGTTCATCCGGTAGACGCGTGTACCATTTGTCGAAAGTTAAATTTTCCCGTTCTTTTTTATAACCAATAGCAAACAAACTAATTGTATTGGTTTAAGTGGTAAGCACCCAAGATCCCTACACCCTCAGGGAATTGTCAAGTAGCCGTTAAACTGCGGGAAGTTTACCGTTTGATAGATTTATTACTTATTGCTAAAAAAAAAATCCCATTAACTGGTACTTTCACAACTGACCGCTAAATAGATGTTGGTCGCACTTGGCATAAATTACTGCCAAAAAAGTTTTTGGGACTTTAAGAACTGGTCTTAAATAAAGGTTGACTGCTTAATAAGTGGACGCTTTACAGAGGTTCCAGTTTCTACTTTTCTACTACTGATCAAACCCTTACCCTAGGCTCACGAATTTCGACCTCAGTTTTAGCGCTATTTCCAGCAGTAGCGCCCGCACTTTTGGCCACTTGATACACACACGCAGTAAGATTTGCTGAACCAGGTTCTCCTGGGATACCTTGGGTGCCGTTATAACCTGGATGACCTTTAGGGCCTTGGATTCCTCTTGCTCCTGCAGGTCCCTGTGTCCCATCTCTACCTGGGGGACCTGCAGGTCCAGTTAGTCCACGAGGTCCCGCTGGGCCCCTGGGACCTGGTGGTCCTACTACTCCGGATGTTGTACCATTGCTGCTGTCCATCTACAAGAAGGACTAATCATATTATTCAGTCACGTCAAAATGAGTTTAGAGCTTCACCTTTTGATATCGTTTCACCTGTGTTTGTAGTTTAACTATCGTCAATGTTTGTTCGTCCATTTTTCGTTCTAGCAGCTTCACTTTTTTTTCCATTCGTTTGATTGCAGCCAATGCTGTTGTGAGCAATGATGAGATGCTGTTATTCTCCACAGGTTTTGTCTTCTTAAAAGAACACAATAAAACATTCCGTTAGTCTCATTTCTATTCACTATTTCCAAGGAAAGCTAATATTTGATTGATTGATCATTTATCTGTTAATAATAAGCTAATAGTGCCACATTTTATTGCTGCGAGTATGGCGTATACGTATATCAGCAGCGGTCGTCCTTGGCCGAAAATGTGTCTCTTTACGCGTCCTTTGCTTGTCTACGTGCTTGTTCTGGTTCGCTTTTAAGTCAGTTTAAGATAGCTAAGGGTGCTTGGTTAGGTCAAACACAACTTTATTCATTGCTGCAAATATTCATCAAAGGCATGATTTAGTTATATTTTCAGATAAGTAAAGAAAAGAAAAGACCCAGACAATGTTCTTTTATTATTTGTTCAGTCGTCGATGAAGATCGACATTGGACTACTTGTACAGTAGAGGGAGAAGTAATTCCATGCAGATACAGACATGATGTAAACAAGAACATCCATACCTATAATTGATACTTTAGTTTTAAACTCTTTCTCCACGCGTAAGCCAAACAAGAACCTCATAATGCAGAATAGGCAATGGCAATCCAAGCTCACAGAGCACTCTGGGAAATCGAATACTTCAAAAATGAAACAGGGAAATCAAAGGAACGTTAACTATGAGAAATTCTACTAGAGTACTAGAGATTCGTGCTCGTGCCGCATCTCCCAACACTCACGCGCGTAATTCACCACAGGAACTCCGCATACATGTACGGTTATCACAGGTAGCCCTAGCCCATCAATGAACGGACATTAACAAGAAATTCAGATTTTTGTACCTATATAAAACGATGCAAACATAACCGAATGTATACTTCGCACTGCATGATGACAAAACCACAGATTTTACTGCTTACACACACCATACTCGCAGCACTTGCACTATGCAATGACTCAAGAGGAAATGAAATATTCTCTTGAATGTCTAGTTTATGTAGTTCATCTTTCTTACATACCATCAAGGTTCAAAGTTCCGTTACATTGCTCTTTATCTCTTGTACTGTTCGCAGGAGTGGAGAATTACTTTGCATCTTTTCTGCTGTGGTCATCAAGCACATCATTCGTACATTAGTCAAACTGTTTCTGTGCATTCGAGAAGCAAGGCATACACTTGTGTGCATGGGCAAGCCTTAAAGCGTAACCGGCTTGGGTGCGTATACCAAGTTCGACGTACGACTACCATAATAACAAGCTACTGCGGCAAAGACCTCTTCAAGCCATATAAGTTTGGGCATGTACAAGCAATAGATTCTAACTGGTTAACGTACATGTCACTTTGGGCTTGATGACTAAGCGCTTCTGTGCACGCGCTAAATAATACTTTTCAGAAGCGTGCATACCTAATATACAAATTAAGCGGAGTTCCCAGTACAATCTATGCTGTCAACTATGCAAGTTCAAAAATAGTGTTAAAACAAAAAGGTCTATTGCAAACCGTTTTCATAGATTTCTGAAACTCGTTTATATAATAAATAGATAGCTAGTTTCAATTTGTGTTCTTTATAAAATATGTATACCTATTTCAATGAAGTTAGTCACCACAAACCTAGAAAGCTGTGATCGCTTAGAATCATGGGAAATATTTGATATCCAACAAGTAAAGCTTTTGACACAAACTGCAGCAGCTGAGAATGCTCAGAGGAGGTTAACTTGTAACTGGTAGAAGATGTCAAGTCCATCAACAGTTATCAAGCGGTTGAGACATATAAATGTATCTACCCATAATGCTTGTCGGCCTCAGTTTTATAGCTTTTCAGGTGACTAACTTTATTGAAATAAGTGTACATAAATTTGTGTATGTCAAAAAACATTCTTTTTTACCAAGTTCATAAAAGAATTGAAACCACGACACACCATTTGACTCATAGGTGCTCGTTATAAGCATAGGTAGAATGTTAAATGCATTGCTAGTCCATAACCTAGCTAGGAAAGCAAAGATTCAGAGTTATTTTCTCTAACTACGGCCGCAATGTTTTGTACGGACCACCTGATCAGATTTCGTCCTGCACGATGATTGGCTGTTTTTTGATAGGCTGTCGAAACCAGATCAACTGGAAGAGATAGTTATAAATAAATATTTGCATATTCAATATCTTAGTTTAAAAAGCTCCCTTCATTCGATTCTGTCATATTCTCACAGGTAATTAGTGAGCCATACTGTATGAAATAAAACAAATAACAAAATACTCAAGATTGTCCACATTGCAAGATCAGCTGGATGGCATAGGGTTGGCGAAAAATGTTCTCAATGATTTAACCTTCACCTGCAACAATTAGAGCCTTGGACAACAAATCCTGTTATGAAGAAAAAGTAAGAAATTTTTTTGTAGTACTGTTTATTGTATGTTCAGTCTTCTAAACAGCTGCTGAGGATTTTAATGATTTTTTAATCAATAAGCTTTCTGATATCCGTGCTTGTCGTAATGAGTCATCAGCACAGTTTGTTGAGGGTAGGGAACTTTCGTGTCAGTTTAGGGATTTTGAGACACCTTCTGACTCGTATATTGTAGACGTCATACACTCACTATCTTCCAAGACTTGCGAACTAGACCCTATCCCTACATCAGATGTGAAGCAGCTAGCGTCTGACTTATCGCCTGTTGTTGCTAGGATCGTGCGCACCTCACTGGCTGCGGTTTCCTACTCCCCTTAAGATGTCGGTTGTTCGTCCTAAGCTTAAGAAATTGGACTCAGCATCCTTTCAGAACTACCGACATTTGGCTAACATTGCGTTTATAAGTAAAGTTATGGAAAAGTCAGCTGCTATCCAAACCCACAACTATCTCAACCACAATGCTTTATTTGCTTCACTTCAGTCAGCTTATCGCGCACACCACTCCACTGAGACCGCACTCTTACTTGTAACTAATGTCATTTTGAAGACCCTTGACTCCCGTAAAGACGTCATACTCGTATTGCTCGACCTCTCAGCAGCATTTGATATCCTGGACCACAATATATTAATATCCCGTCCTTATCTATACTTTGGATTTAAAGGGACTGTTCTGAATTGGTTTACTTCTTATCTTCGTGGTCGCACCCAAACATTTATTATTGCTGGTACCTCCTCATCACCTAGAAACCTAAACTACAGTGTACTTCAAGGATCCATTCTTGGACCTTTGTTGTTTACACTATATATATTGCTCCGCTCTAAGATGTCATAGCAACCCATGATCTCCAATGTATGTTTTATGCCGACGATACTCAGCTCTATATTGCTGTAAAACCAACTACACCTGACTTGGCTATCGACTATATCTCTACTTGCATCCAAGCTGTTTTTGACTGGAACACATGCAATAAGCTGCAGACTAATCGTGGTAAAACAGAGGTACTATACTTTATAGTACACTCAACAAAATTACTCGACTCTGATTGGTCGAGAGGAGTACAATTATAGCGTTAATTGTACTCCGTAGGAGTAGCGAAATAAGTCGCTATGGCAACACGGCTAAAACAATGTCAAAACAATTATTTTCTATCATTTTGTACTTAAAAAACGTATAAATAAAATTTTAAAGCCGTAAGAACTAATGTTTTTTATGCATTTCAGTTGCGCGATGGACTGAAAATCGGCCGCCAAATAGACAAAGATGAACGGCGTCGCTTCGCATTTTTTTACTATTTAAATTAGTTTCCTTGGGACCCCAACAACACAAATGCCACTGATAATAAATACTTAAATTCCTGTACAACTGGAAGGATTAAAACTAACTAATTGTTATTTTTGAATATTCAAATAACCCGTTAATAACCTCTTTTCCTGTACAAGACCTATCGACCTGTCAACGTAGTTATAATCTCTTCCGTTCGCTACCGATATTATTTACACTTTTTGTAGTGCAGTAAACCGTAATTTAGCTAAAGAGGACAACATTAAATTAAATCACTATATAAGTATGTCATTCCAGCTGAGCGATGAAATTTGTTTCCGCCAATCAAAGCGCGTTTAGCTGCGTTGCCGCCTCCCTTATTCCCAGGCCACTGTAACCCATTTGCGTATTTTACTGTTTTCTTTTAACTAAAATATGATATAAGTTCGTAAAAAAATCAGAAATATGCAAAGGAAGAACAAATACAATTTACTGCCATGTATGCTTCGTTCTTTATAGCTCCAAAGATGCTTAGGGCCATTCATTACTCGGGCTTTCAAAGGAATGCCTGAGGTATAAATTGGGCTTTGTTTGCGTTCTGTCACAAATCGCAGTTGCGTTCAAAGCGCATGCGCAAGTTCTATGCGCGTGCGTAGTATGCGCCACATAAGCACATGGTCGAGCAATGGCGGAATTTTTCAAGGTTTCGTCAAAAGGATGACAGTGTTCACGAAGAATTCTTTCGATTTTCTGCTATAGATATGCGTCTAGTTTTGTCTACTGATGGACAAAATTTGGTTAGGCCTGGTTCCTAACGGCACTCAGATTACAAAATTTTATTATTCAAAATGATTAATGACTTTTTAACATTTATTGTGACAAGCAGTTGAAAGTTACTTGTCATGCTGCGACGAAACTACCTTATGTTTTTTGTCATAATCAGTTTGACGTCACGTTTCTTTCTAAAAAGGTCATCAAAAAGGTCAGTAAAACCGACTTAAGTATAAATAGTCTGAACTTTTAAGATCGACTCAGAAACAAATGTCATGCGCCGAATTTCTTGGGAGATACTGCTCCGGTGCATTGTCTTAGAGGACAAAACATTTAAGACTAGAAATTGAACCCATGCTGAGTCCTGTGCATGCGTAAGACAAACCTTCTAACACACCCACCGTTCTGCCCTGTGGGTAAAAAGTCTCTCGTAGGAGTAAAGTGATTAACTTCTTCTTAAAACGATATTTGAAATGGTGCCAATTGCTAAAAATAAGAATGGAAAGACATCAAAAATGTAATATGGTTGTGCACGGTATTTACTTAACTTCAGGTTCATTTTCTTTCGACTATTCCAGAACGAGGAATAGAAATCACAAGATCGACCTACTATCGGGAATATCAAATAAAGGTTATCAGGCAGGATCGATGCGTGCAAGGATGCATATTGTTATTCATTTATTCGGCTTTGTTGTTATGTCTTCATTTTCAAGGCTAGCCAGAATCACATCTAAGGAGATTAATCTTATGCAAAAGCACATGAATTGCTTATTGATGGATGTTAAGTAACTTTGGAGAAACAACAGTATTCAATGCATAGCACCAACCTTTTCTATTCTCAATTCTCTGGCATCCACTCGGGACAATAGTTCCTTTGATCATCAGCACATTGATGAACAGAGATGCAAGAGATACGGCAATGACTATGCCGATCATGAAAGATGAACAGCATCTTTGAAAGGATTTTTTGTCCTAGGATGATTTTGTTCTTTCTCCTGCTTCATGCGACCATCATTTTTAGGGGTGTAACTTGTGGAAGGTTGGATATTATTGCTTAGACTGTCGAATATAACATTCTTTCTACTCTCTGGCCTTCTTTCGTGACCCAAGTCATGTAGATAGAGCTCCAAGGCACTCAAATTGTCTTCTCCTATATCTTGTAAGTCGTTCTCTTTTGTCTTCTTGACGAAGGATTGTTGCAAAAAGTCGGGGCTCTTCGCCATGTTGCTTCTGCACTGTTCTCGTCTAGGTTCCTCTTTGTCTTGTGGGCTCACCTTTCTCTGGTGAGACATGTTGCATCTTATTTATCTATCTGTCACATGTTTTTTGTGAGTCCTTTATGCTTATGTATAGACTAGCCGTCTACTGCACGAATCGACATGTTCCTTTGTTTCAGGGTTGATGCTTTGATGCTACAATCAAAAGATGCTAGAGGAATCTAAATGATATGATATTAAGACGAGTTATTAATCAACAGCGGAGTCAGGTGTTTTGGAGGGTTTCTTTCAAACTCTGCGCGAGATTCTCATTTGGATGAAAACCTCAGCTGTAGTGAACAAAGTATGTTGCAAGTCTCCACAAATCTACACAAGCCTGCAATGTTAAAGTTAGGTTGCCTGTGCATTAGAAACTCAAATGGCCACTGCATATATTCGTCTAGAGGATTTTAAAGAAAAAACTTGACCGGGCAAGTGAAACATATGCATAAAACCGATTAGTTGAACTCCTTCAAAAAGGTCAAAAAAAACTAACTTACGTTACAATTTCATTGCAAAATGATTACTTTCAACTACTGTTGTCTCATAAAAGAGATCCCCAAAAATTGAAGGTTTTCGAATCTGCGCAGAAGAGTTTTAAAAGCTGTCGCTCTTTGAAAATCAAACTTAAGACCCGATTTTTACCTAAAAGAACAAAGAAACTTGTAGTTTGGCAAATATTTAAACTGACGATTGTTTGATCCTTAACAATTAACTGTCTGTCGGTAAATATCTTTATTTAAATTTTATTTCACGACGAGAGAAAAACAATTTTAACCGAAAAGGTAATCCTACATTGGGCCTTCAAATGTTATATTGGGTCATCAATTATAGGTAAGGGTCAGAGCTGCGATTGTTATCTGTAAGGCAACACCTCAATGAAACAAATAAAAGGCATTCCTCATGTTATGCCTTTATTATATAATCTTGCATTCTCTGCGATCCCTTCTTGTGGGGTCTTGAAAACGAAATATTAGCTATGTGGGATATACTTGATGATAATAAGCTTATTTCGAATCAAATCAGCTCCCGTAGTTGAATGGTATTGACATAACGTAAAAGTATAGTTACGGAGATTTACTAATTGGTCTCGTGACGGGCTTGATTCTGGTTTCCTCTTTCCTTTTCTTTTTGTTCTTATTTACAGCTCTAACTACATATAATAATATCTATTGCTATAAGGTCATACGTCCGTARCTTTTATTCAGGCTTGCAACATAGAGAATGGTCTTAATGCAGGAACTGTACTTTAAATGCGCATGCGTCATGTTCAGAAGAAGGGATATATAACCGGCGTAAACCAATTAACAAAGACACATACTTTGCGATACGAACCACCCCTACAATCCCTAAACTAGATACACGTGCAGATATAAATTACAACTTCATTCCTAATCAAGATGCAGCCGGGACATAACTACAGGATCCGACATTAAGTGCACACACGTCATGCTCAGAAGAACAATATTCCCGAGTGGCGCCGCAAGTCAAGAAGAAAACAAACAATGTAATACAACCAGATACATATCCTAATCACAGGATAAGACTACGCTATGTGCACATTGAATGACATGCGTACACTTCATGTGCAGAAGCACGATATTTCCTAGTGGCGCATGTCAACTGGAAGAAGAACACAAACAATGCAAGACAAAGTTTTTCAGCTTCTGTGTGTCTAACATTAATTAAACATGACCCGGGCATCAAGCTGTAAACACCTGTAGTTTAATTGTAATTAATTGTAGAGACAAWTTTTTACAAACTGCGGCAGAAAAGTATTTCGTATATACCTACGTATGAATGTCTAATAAATAGCGAATGATTAAGCTTCTTATCTATCTATCTACGTAATGGATCCTAAGAATGGCTTA